AGACGACCATGCTGCAATGTAAGGCAGCATTGTCTGAGAGGATTGTGAATTGTTTTCATATATAATCTTTATAAACGACAAATGGCCAAACTGAAATGTATGGACCAGACGTAAATGGAATAGTCCCCCTATGGTTTGCTCAACGTAATTGAAAACCGACGCATTAAATAACCTCACAAGCATTTATGCTAGATGAACGTAACAAATATTGAGGTGAATTTAAAAACTGAATAATATTACAGTTTGCCTCATACAACTGTATCGTTCTTCTAGGACTCCTCGGGGATGCTAGGGACCAAAAAGTGTTTATTGCTGTCTTGTTAAATAATTTCGTATTTAAACTTTTGTATTTAAAAATAGTTGAGAGATGGTTGAAGCTTCCGGAAATAAGGTCTTGGTGTTCAGTTCTCAAAAACTATGAGAATAAGCATTATTTTATTTTGTTCTCACAGCGTTTAGCTGACTTGTATTTACATAAGCTGATTCTCTTCTTCACTTGTTAGGTCATCATTTTCGTTTTGAATTAAGCATTTACGTTACATCTCTTCAATAAATTTCCTTCCCTTCTGCTTTATTTTCACATTTCTGTAGATTTACAAACATGATACGATTCTCCTTCTCTGTTCGATTTCAAAAATCAATAATGCCTAGCTATATGAAGGTGTTGCGATGTTGGTAGTTGATAGCTCCAGTACTTCCCACTTGCAAATTCGCTTTACTGCTGCGTTGGTATTTATCAACCGTTCAAAATTTCCGTCAATGGATAAGGTGAACTGTCTACCACACATCAGCACTTTGATGATGACTTTAGCTTGGTAACGGTTCCTTAATTGCTATTTATCTTACTTTATTGAAAATGATTATGTACAAACCTGCTCCGACAGGCTGATGTTTCAATTTCCACAAACATCAAAATAAATCGGCAAAAACCTGACAAAAAATCACCGGTTTCTCTACACGGCCTAGGGAACACATCCTAACCCATGGTGTGACGTCAGAATCGATACCTACTAAAACCAAATGCATATAAGGTTTAGTTGAACATTTTCATTTGGTGTGCATTAAAAGGACATGTTTAACTTAGCTTGGCAGTAATATGGGGAATGCTCCGATATTCTGAGGCAATAATTTGTTAGAAGCAATTACCCGAGTTTACGATGAACTGTATAATGTCATTCCCTTCCCGAAACAAAGACTTGGTGCGAGGTAATGGTCCGTTTTCGTCTTGGTAATTTGTTTTTGTGGAATCCCATCCAGATATCCACTGACATTAAATGATCACCGCTCATCGCCCTCGTTGAATTCATCGATCGGAGTGTTCACCACATCCCAATAAACAGACGATCAAAGGGCTACAGCCAAACCATGAAAAGACCGGCTCTCCGTCCATGCAATTACACTCTACATGATGTAAACCGCCCTTTGTTGTTTTAGATTCCACCGTACCACAGAGCCTCGAGATCGATCTCTATATCTGTACAGGTTACTTTGTGTCTCTCTAGGTCTAAAATACAAATTGGTACCTAGAGATGGGAGAGAGCGGTTTAGCGTTTATCGTGGTGTTATTATCTACCGTCTGACTGCCAATACCTCTGGTAGTCTGTATGACCGTCACGTAACTGGGGGCTTAATTGATAATTACGCTAGAAAATGTATACTTGGATATTTACTTTACTTTTAAATGTGCATACTATAGCATCCCTAGAGAAGGCTATAATTAATAACATTATGTTGTCTAGTTACGATCATCTATAGCAGCCACAAGTTGTCAATTATAACGTTATAAAGATACAAAAGACATCATTCCGCTTTTTGTTATATACATTTGGACACATGAAATATGGATTGGTAATCTTTTAACCTGTAGAACCTGCCATGAATTTAAACTGAACACAATGGTGCATCAATTGTTTTTTACTTTGTTTTGTTTTTTAAATTGAATTACCATTATTTTTGAAAAGTTATTTCCTTATCTTGTATTCATATTTTTTTCATATATTTTATATTTGAATCGCAGTGGAAAAATAACAGTATTTAGTAATACATGCCAATGTTTGTGTCTATGGTATTTCTTAATATTTTCTTCAAATTGGTGAGTATGGATTATGAAAATTTCCCTCTTACACAACCAATACAATTTTCTATGTGACGTTTCGATGACTAGTACGATATGTACACTGTCACCTTCATCAGACGAATGACCAGTGAAGCGTATGCACATAAAGGTGTAAAATGTGTAGGGTTGTCCACAAAATCGATGTCGATTTCGTCTACGCTGTAAGCCTATGTACAATAGTTTTTATATATGTACCGAATATTTGTGTCTATGGGTTTGGTAAAATTGGACAATAAGTGTGTACAGTGTATGTGTTTGGTAATATTGAGCACTCAGAATGGGTATATGTTTGATAATATTGGAAAATGTGTGTGTCTATGGGTTTGGTAACATGGGACAATACATGAGTGTCTGGATTCGGTAACGTTAGACAATATGGGTGTCTATAAGTTTAGTAACAATGGACAGCACGGGTGTTTAAGGTTTCGGTAACATTGGATATCTTGGATTTGTATAAGTCTGGTTACCTTGGAGGTAGGTACATAAAAGGGATTTTCTGTATTAGTTATCGATACTGCAGATTTGAAATGCCTATTATCCTTGCTTGTTAAAGAAGAAAACCGGAACAGGATGTCGACGATAAGAAGTAAAAATGGCTTCTAGGATAGCACAGAATGAGACAAATCGCACGTTCTTTCTATGTATCAGAAAAATCCAATTATTGGGAACTTTATACTATAATAAGCGGATATTTGGAGAAATACGGATCTTGGAGCCATTATTTCTACTTTCTCTTTCACTACTCAGTCGCATACAAAAAATATTCTATGTTATCGCGTCATTTGTTTCTTTGTCAGATTTAATTTGGAATGTGAATGGTCTTGTAATTGGATGAAACCTTATAATAATATTGGACATTTCTGCTTGATTAAGAGATTTATTACGTTCTGTTAAAAAACACCCATCTCTGCTCGTGTAATCAAAATACAAAGAACAGAAATAGAAGTAATTGCTTTGAGAATGCTTAGTTTGTTTTAGATACTGCAAGGCAGCCACTGTGCTGTTGATAACACAGATTTGCAGATAGCATAAATATGTTAAGTCACGTCATTATCAAAGGAACTCTATTACATAATACACACAAACACACATAAAATCTTTTGATTACATGATAATTCCCCATCGTCAATAGGTTTAGATAGCGTTGACATTGTATGTTTCTTTTTGTTTTAATGGTCTATTAATTTTTTTTGTTTTGTTTTGTTTTTTGTATTTTTATGTTAGTTTTTTAAAGATCAGTTTAGGTTTTTTGATTGTTTTTATTTTTATTATTAGCCCCCATTCCTAATTCTGTTTATCTGATTAAATAATAGCATATAAAATCTGAGATAGTTAAACGATTTGATTCCAATTAGAAGGGAATATGCCAATGATATGGCAATTATGATTGGAATATATTTTTCCTGTTAACGCATGTCATATATCTGTAGCTTCTTGCATTTAAATCCACTTAACTGCACATTGACCTATGTTTCGTTTATGTATGGAAAGAACTATAAAAACAGTACAATTATGTTATATGAGGATCGTAGTCACTTCGGCATGGTAATATGTACTGCTTTTAGTTTCCTTAGCAGAATTTGTAATATTACTTGACATTTTCAATGTGATATTGCACCAGTCACATAAACTGTAATGTTAACGGCATGCTACACGCGTATACAGCATCGGACCATGTAGCATTCAGAGTCGTAAGTCTAAATACCGATACAATCACTATTTGCTTGGGAGTAAGTCACAGTTAATAAACAAAATAGTAATATTCCATTGTACAAGTAAATGCATATTATTCATAAATTGATTTAGATATATAAATCACACAAAGCATTCAAATGACTCTGGCCTAGATCCGTTGATGATTTCGGGGCTAGGTATCGATATCGATGTGGGCAGTTGTATTGGTATCAGTATGATCAGGTGTACATGTATAAGTATCGATCTAACCAGGTGTATAAATATTGATCCAACCAAGTGTATAAATATCTATCTGATCAAGAGTATAACTATCGATCTGATCAGGTGTGTTTATACCGATCTGTTTCAGGTGTTTTTGNATATCGATCTGTTCAGGTGTTTTTGTATCGACCTGCTCATGTGTGTTTATTTCAATCCGATCAGTTGTATTGGTATTGACCTGTTCAGGTGTGTTAATTTCAATCCGATCAGGTGTATCGGTATTGACCTGTTCAGGTGTGTTAATTTTAATCCGATCAGGTGTATTTGTATCGACCTGGTTATGTGTGTTTATTTCAATCCGATCAGGTGTATCAATATCGACCTGTTTATGTGTGTTTATTTCAATCCGATCAGGTGTATCAATATCAATCTGATCACGCGTGCTATTGATAGCAATCTGATTCAATGCACTTAAACAGAAGTGTCAGTATAATTGTATGATAATTAAATGTACGTTTAATTCTATGGGTGTTATCACGTGTATTGACATCAATTTGGCATAACTGATACCGATCTACTGCTTGGAACCAGTCCATATCTATTGTTAGAACACATCGTAATTATATCAATATAATTATATACAGAAGGATATTGATCCCTACGTTGTATTGTGTTATATATATATAAAATCATCCTGTAAGATATTTCCTTTTTGTTTTATTTATCACAATCCAATGAGAAGTATATTTTTTTTTAATTTGTATTTTCCAAACAAAGTTGACAATTCAATGTGCCCTTTATTGAAAAAATGTATTTATGTTCACTACTTTCATATAGAGACGTTAGTGTTGTCTTTCTCAACTGTTGGTACCTTTTAGTTTGTTGTTTCTTTACAAAATTATCATGCAATACATTTTCTTTTTGTAGATCGCCTGTTTTCCAATGGCACAGTTAATAAACTAATGGCGTTATCATTCTTAATTTACAGCGGCCTGTAGATGAGGATGGTGTCGGCTGTCGTTCTGGGTATTGTCTGCGGGGTCACAGGGGTCATCGTCGCCACCGTCATCGTGGTTATATGTCGTCTGTACAGACGAAAATATCGTCACCGAACATGTGTTCCACCATGTGGCTACGACGCTGTTGGGGACTACAAACCACCTTCGTTGATGTCAATATCATCAGGATCCCAGGTAAGGATCCGATATGTTTATCATAGGATAATAGCTGTAAAAGGTAGGGCTACACTGGGTAAAGTTGAGATGATTGTGAGGTCCACGTTTTGTGAACATTTTCTTTATCGTGAGGACTACACTGGGTAGAGTTGAGATGATTGTGAGGACCACATTTTGTGAACATTTTCTTTATCGTGAGGACTACACTGGGTAGAGTTGAGATGATTATGAGGACCACATTTTGTGAACATTTTCTTTATTGTGAGGGCTACACTGGGTAAAGTTGAGATGATTGTGAGGACCACATTTTGTTAACATTTTCTTTATCGTGAGGACTACACTGGGTAAACTAGGTTCTGATTGTTTGGGCCACATTTTATTAAATATTTCTTTATCGTGAGGACAAACTTTGGTAAAGAATGCTTTGCTCAGGAGGATCACAATTGCTAATGTATGTTTTGAACAGGAGGCTTACATTTTCTTGAATATGTTTGATCGGGAGGATCACAATGATTTAAACATGGTTAGGACCCACCACATGTGGTGAAGGTTTAGCTCTATCTGTAATATTGATATAATTAATATTGCATATAAAACTTGCAAGCTTCTATCGTTATGACAACATTTCGAAAAGTATTTGTTTCAAACGTGAAAAGGGCGATAAGTATGAAAGTTTATTGTGTGATTACTTTTGTTCAGTTATGATTTTATTCTAAGGAACAATTGGTGAAGGATGTTTCGGTCTTGAGGATTACAGTACATCACACTTAGTTTAAGGTGTCTTTATCATGAGGATAACAATTGCTAAAGTAAGTTTTGCCTACACTTTTATATAATGAGATCACAGCTTATGAAGTATGTTTTAGCATTAGAATCACAATGGCTAAAGTAAGTTCTGCTTACGTGTTTATGTTATAGGGACCAGAGTTTATGAAGTAAATTTTATCGTGATGATGACAATTTATAAAGTATGCCTTTATCGAGAAAATCACAATTGGTAAAAATTTACAAATTCATCGCAAGGACCGCAGTTGGTGATGTATGTCGTTATCATGATGACTACAATTAGTAAAATATTTTCTTTTTCAATGAATACAACGTTTGGTGTGTGTTTAACGTGAGAACGACAGGTAATATAGATACTCTATGTAAACATGTGTTTATAACAGGGATATTACGTACAGCAATACGTAATCAATGTCAGGTACGTATATATTAAACAAAAGCTTCACAGGTTTGTCTTAAGCTCGTGCACGTTATATCAGGCAATTTTATAGGCTATTTCGTCGTACTACATGTAGATGCAGGAAAGAGAATGATCTCATATAAACCAATGTGAAACATAAACTCTCCCTGTGAGAGATATTGATATAGATGCCCAGACCGAAAATGGCGGATCCTGTTTTGTACCTCGACAAGATATCAGGTATTTGACAATTGTCTTGTGACACAAATGTCCTTTATGTTAAGTGAATTTTGTTCGGTGCTTTCAACTCTTTCTGTACGTTTGTTCGTTTTCCTCGTACTGTGTAGCCCCTCGACACGATTAACAATGTCGGTCGCTATCAAAAGTCGGGCAGGTGGTGCCCAAGTACAAGTCTCGAGCCTAACGAGACGGACGCAGGCAGATGATACGTTTGATAGCGCTGATTTGTCATTATTGGGTATTGTGGGTTATAATTATCAAGACGACATACACAATCTCCGACATCACAGCTCATAAACATCCTTACACAGAGCATGGCCTGGGAGTCTGATCCATCTTGTTAGATTGAAACCATGCAAGACCCCCTGATTTACTGGCGGGGATATACATTAACTATGCAACCCTAGAATCTCGTATACGGTACAGCTTCGGTGCATAGTGTATGTCAATATTTGTTTATACAGAAGTTAAAGAAGAACATCCTCAATACAATAATATACAAAACAAAGAAATTAACTTTATGCAAAAGCACAATAACAGGAACTAACAAGACTCTAAAACAAAGGTAAAAAACATTATAAACCTAACAAATTTCTGTTGGCAATAAGAGTTCAGATATAAAGAACAGTAAGCTTTGCCTACGGATTGTCTATCGTCGAATCAAGCATGAAGTTCATCAATGACTAAGGACAAACAAGTCTCAATCACGTAGACATTTGAGTCGTGTAAAAGTCCTGTCAGGATAATCTCGGTAAAATTCCTTCCGTGTAGACTGAAGCAACTGAACAAATGCATCTACAAAATTCAGATACTAGGTACAAGTTGTGGAAATACGAATCAAATGTGATAAATATGCTGCACACTAGGAATAGGGGAGGTTAGAATGCCATTTCTTGGCAGAAGTTGGCAGATGTTTTGAGAAACATTTGGAATTAACAGTTTTTCGTGTTAAGATCAGTCATAATGTAGTTATTCTAACACGTTTGACAATGTAATAGCATTTTGCATTGGTTCAAAATCAGGTAATATTAGGCAATTATACATGTATATGCATTTATTATCTTGCAAACAAACCTGGCATACCCGTGTGACGCTCCTTCAAAATTCTCTGTCGTATTACACATGTAAACAAGTTCACAGCGCGTAGCTTGTCTGATTCGATTTTAGGTTAGGTACAAGCGTGGATATTTATATCTTAACGTTTTCATTTACAGCCACGTTAAACTGGCACATTATGACGAGCTTAATGTTGAGAAATAAGAATATCGTCTGAAATTTAAAAAAAGGTGCCGAATTAAAAAATAGGATGGTCTTGGTTACGTTGACCTACCTGAACAGAAGTAAACAACTGGCTATGTTCTTTTGTTGTAAAATCAATGATAAACAACGTATTGAACTTCCAAACTAACCTACAAGCTATACTTCAATCATAAATATATTTCAGCTAGAATAGCTATTCTTATCACAGTATCTTACTTTATTGCAGCTTTACACGTTTAACAACTACACATATCTATTCAATAAAACACATGTTATTTACACGTACATGAAATATACATATATCTATATATATATATTAAATGTTTCTATTTTTTAAGCATGTTGTCATGATGCTTGTTTAGTCACGAGCATTGTTATCCTGGGAAGAATCAACGAAATTACTTCTATATTTCCGTCTGTAATGTTAGTGCCGTTAAGACGTCCTTCGAAGGTATGTAGCGTGACGTTTTCTAATACAACACAGCATGATAAAATGTATTAGACAGAAGGTCGACATCTTAATCGATATCAAATATAAATATATGGACTTTTTGTCGACAGATTTGTTTTTTTTTTTATATCCGTAGCTTTCTGATAAATGTCAGGACAAAAAGAAATGTCTGAACATATCTTGTTTGCGTTGGCATGATCAGACCCTTTGGAAACATGAACTTAACAGATTATGTTAAAGTGTCCTTTAAAAAAATATAACATTATCTTCTTCCGAATATTTCGTCTTTGCGTATTGCAGAGTTATCTTCTCTTGGGAGCAGGTATTGATTGTTACGTAATTGGTTTGTGTGAGAAAATTACGTCATTTTCTCAAAAATTGATGACGTTACTCTCACAAACAAGTGACGTAACAATCAATACCTGCTCCCAAGAGAAGATAACTCTGCAATACACAAAGACGGAATTGAAAGTCTAATGTGAAAATGAGTTCGTGTAGTTAAACGACGTTTATAATAGACAATGTTTATATGTTTATATTGAATAAACATGATGAACACTTTTTCAATATCTCAATAAATAGAGTGTTGCGGAATGATTATACAAGTCTTCGGTATTGTAATAGACATGTAGGATAATAATGTAGCAAGTGTATGGTTAACCGGAGGCACGGTAGTCTATTGGTAGGACGCCGGGCTCATGACCGAAGGGTTGCGGGTTCGAGTCACGGCACGGCACTGTGTTGTATCTTTGAGCAAGATACTTTACTCCGCTTGTTCCAGTCTACTTAGCTGAAAATGAGTACGTGGTTGGGCAGAGCTAGAATTGTTGAATGCTAGCCGTGAGCGCCGACATTGGTTGCAAAGGCCCTATAACCACGGATAATAATTTGTAAACCGCTTTGGGACGACCTACGAACTAGGTTGTGATTAAGCGTTATATAAGAACCTCGAATTATTATAGCATTATTAGTATAACATGTAAGTAATATTTCTTCATTCGTTTCGAAAATGAGTTGAAGTTGAAAAGAAGAAAGGAAGGGAAGAAATTTGGACTTTCTGATGGTTATAATTTTAAATGGCTATTCTTTTGGTTTATTAAATGAATAACCAGAATTATTTTTGGGGTATCCGTTATATACCGAAAAAAACCCTGTTAGCTCTTTACATAAATCCACGAAGCGGTACAAGCACAAACGAGCACATAGGGTATTTTAGACACTAGGATGATAAATCGCTTGCCTACTCACCAACTGTTGTTTACTCTGCAAAGACACCTATATAATTTGGTAATTTTAAAAGCTGTCCTGAGAGAGCCGTAAAGGTTAATTGAAATATTTCGAAACGTTGATACTGTAAAATCATAAATTTTCGTGGGGCATTAAATTTCGTTTATTTCGTGAATAACAAAAATCCACGATATCAAATTCCCACGAATACATAATTTTGGTATGATATAAATAGGGGAAAATCAGAATTCAGCGAAAGATAATGTCCTTGAAGCAGGCCAGTATTTGAAAAACACAACATTTTAACCCCACGAAAATAAATGATTCTACAGTATTTCATTTACATAAAATCAGGATTTAAGTGTTTCTTTCTTCATGTTATCTTCACTATCTTTACATATATATATATATATGTAAACATACACAATACAGCTTACCAACCATCTTATATTCAGGTAAACCTACAGAAAAGAGAAAAATTAACCACTTAAGAACCCTCTTTCTCCAATTTCACTCCTTCATTTTTCTACATTAAGTTAAATTGTTATTAATTTAAGTTTTAAATAATTATTTAATGGTTCAGATGTGTATTTAGGCAAAAATAGAGTATGCTGTTGACATAATTAAGTCAATATAGAAACAAAGTCACCGTGACCTAATTACAGCTATTACATTGTGTGTGCTAGTTTTTGTCGGACAAATTTATTATATTCAGACTGATGCTACATACGACATCAAAATGATGAAGAAATATCCCGAAGTAACAAGTCGTTTTGTCAATTTATCTATCATTTGTTAATTTGGGTTCCCTCTCGTTTCTCAGAATAGTATAAACGTTGACCTAAATTCGAGACATATAACCTAAACAAAACATAAATCCCAGCAGCTAGCACTTTTTTGACTCCTTCTTATGCTTACATTTACTTATAATATACATGAAGAAATATATATGGGCCAAAAACTAATAAAGACAGCGCAGACAAAGAAATTTGTCAAATTTTCAGAGCAACCGCCCCCATTTCCAAGACAGGAACATGAGCAATTACATATCACAACAAAAAACAGAGATACACAGTCATTATGAAACAATAATAGAACAACAAAAACTACGTATTACACTGTAAACAAAACAATAGTCACTTATATAAAATATGCTGTTGTAATCACTCTATATATCACATGTAACAACGGTTCACGTGCTCACACCGCACGTTCTACAACACTTAAGCTTGGTTTAACCCTAACACTGTGTATATATTCCAAACAAAACAAAAATATACAAATTTAGCTACATTAAATCCAACGTGTGTTAGTAAAGGTTCTTAAGCAGTTTCAGGTTCAAAGTAAATGCAAGTTGCTGTAATGAGAACATAAATGTACATGTTTGGTGTTGAACACAACAAATGTTAAAATAATCACACATTTGTATGCATATATCAGACTTAAGTATTGGTGTTTGTATCATTTATAACAGCCGCGCTGCAGTCTTTTCTCCACTGTAACATTTACATCTGTCGCCGCAGACAACACTGCCTGGGTAAAGTAATTCGTATTAACTCCGTATAGAGGAGCAACATGTTTTTCTATATGACTACCAACTAGACTAAACCTCTAGTGACATTTCCATTAAAACTAAACACAGAATATACGCATCCTTGGAGTGACGAGTGACAGTGGGGGGACACATGACGTCACAGTATTAATCCTAGAAGGTATGTCGGTGAAGAAGCTATCTGTCTGTAAGGGTCATGGGGGTGTGTCTCAACAGACTCCTGCACGGTTTAGCCGAGGAGGATATGGAGGTGTTGACCGGCCCCAGAGTACTCGTTAATTACACAAGACAAGAGGTAAGGGTCAAGGCGTACCCGAAAGGGCCAGAAAAATGCAGAGAGTATTGTTGATAAATACACATTTTGTTGATGTAGACGTGGCATACGTTGGTAATGGATGCAAGCACAGATTATGTAGGTCTTTATCTAAGCTGCCTGCGTTGTAAACACGTCCATAACTTAGGCCCGGTCACAGACGGCGACGTCAACGCAGATTCCAGGAAATTTAATGAGGAAAGAACACGGCCTCTCTCTTTCTCTGCGTGTGTACTTGTTGCAGTGAAAAGCAGAGTTGTAATATTTTGGCAGCTGATAACGGAAATATATTCTTTACAGAAGATATTCAGTTTAAATGGTATATTGCTATGGACTATTCTGTGTTAATTACAACAAATAGTTTCCCTGTACGAGTATTCACACAGGTTTTAAGAAAAGCAAGCTGTTTCATTGATATCGGCTATGATGCAGAAAGGCTGGTTGAGCGCTTTCTAGACAAATACTGTTTTTATACCACTGTATTTATTTAGTTGTCTGGACTGCTTTAACACATAAAACCGTTGAACAAGTTTCTTTATGATATTTTCTCTTTCTGCTCCAGGACGTACAGCTGACAAAAGAACACCGGGCCATCCAGCCGAGGTCAACATCCATTACCTCGCGGACGAGTATCTCTACCATGTCCCGCGGAAGCATAAGGAGTGATACACTCACGGAGGAAACGAGCAGTATCAGTGCGCGCAGTGACACGAGCGTGGACAGTTGTATATTTGACCCCTCGTTTGGTAAGTTGTTTGCGGGTTGCTATATATATGTACCAAAACATAAGGACAGCGCGACACTGAGAACTAAGAACATGAGAACTTAGAAAACATATCATGTGACAAGAGGAACGTTTTTAAGCGTGCTTCAACAACTTAACAATAATTTACGTAACAGGACACCAACAGTAAAATTTAATTACGTCAGGTATACAATGTACAAAACATTATTGATTATGCGTTAATAAAATGCATTACGATATCATAATAACGCATTGAAAACATTGAAATATATATTCCATTATGGACAAATGGTAGATTGTTCTCACTAAGCAGTAAAACGTTTATAAGATGGTGATCTTGAATGGATCTCAATCATATTTGTCGAGTAGGTCTTTATATTAACACGTTTTTGTTTCGTTTGTCTCACGACAAGAAAATAACTTACTCTCTGCTACCGTAGGACATAACTTCTTATGGTGTATTGTATTTTATCACCTTGTTATAGTAATAATACTAATTTTCAGACCATGAAATACAACGTTCTGTATTGCACATGTGCAATACGGAATGTTGTATTTACCTACTAGCCGGAACTACTTTTTATGGGAATCCCGTTGTCATGACGAACTGAAAGGTTCCCGGTATTTGCAGAAAATATCAAAGTTAATAAAATCTTTGTATCAATCTCTATCAAATACGGAAGGTATGTGATAAAAGCAAGACCACAAACTTGTGTTTTTCTAACAAATCAGAAAGCACTCATTTATTGCGCGGACTTATATATTCGTCCGCGCAATAAACTCGTGCTTTCTGATTCGTTAGAAAAACACAATTGTGTGATCTTGCATATGTATACACAAAACAGAAAGCTATTATTTAATATGACTGGATAATGGTGTGCAACATTTGGTGAAATCAGACAGCTTGTGTGTTTTTACCTACGTGAAATAGATTGCCACACTGTTTCGTGGATAAGATCACACATTACATCTCCAGCACACGCGCAGGCATACACGCATAGGGAGATATTAGCCAGGTGGCATAGGACTAGTTGTTAGCGCATGATAAGGCAGCTCCTGCGAATTCCTCCCAAACTGTATTGATTAATGTATATGCTAATTGTATTAATTGTATATCTATGTACTGTAAAGCGCTTTAGAGTGGCTAATGTTAGCAAGATGGGGCGCTATATCAAATGTCGTATACTAATATTATTATTATAAGGTGACTTATACGCTTAGTGTCTCTAGTTTCAATACGTGTTGCTTCAAATTGTTATTTGTTTTACTGTATGTGTTCGTAGTGTAGGTTAGATAAATTATCTCTACCTATATCAACATATTAGTCCTACAAATGTTGATTATTTTCTTGACTTATATATGTTGAATAACATATTCTTAATGATATTGTCATCAGATATTTCTAGAATTCTAGAAGAAAACACCCATGTTTTTACATGAAAGCATATCGTTGAATAGTGTGCTATTGTCAGAGAGGATGGAACAGTTTGTTAACTATACTGTCATTGTTTTAGATTAAAACAGATTTGTAGAAATTTACAAGCCAAATTTTGACCAGTTAAAAATCTAATCCATAAAGTCTATTGGCATACCAACACGACTTTATTGGAGCATGGCAAAAGTAGTAACTATACGTAACTTTGATTCGCATATTGTTATTTTCACGTTTAAATGGAAAACACAAATTAGCACTTTATTGACAAGAGCGATAGATCTCCATCTGATACTTGATTTGACCAGGAAATTATCGCCTTGAATCGGCGTGGTCAGCTGACAATCCAACTATCCATATATATAGTAACTGTTACAGAAAACATTGATGCTTTGATCATAACAATTGTTCCCGTTGGATGTACAGTATAAACACAGCACTGCATGTAAGTGGTATTTTGTAAGTGGTTAGTACTCGTCAGGTTACTATAGTGTTGACAGCTTTTACAGTGTGATTAACCTACTGTTCACCGACCGGCATATATAGAAATACGTCATGATTGCACCCACCTGTCGAACTGTAGATACATGTACATATCCGGCAATACAAAGGATGTTCTTCAACAATCATCACACCTGACTCTGTCGATCACCTGGCTACTTGATTTTATACTTAATCATTCATAATGAACTTGGTGTAGTACAAGTGTCTGGTCAGATTTATATGCATCCGATCAAATACCAGAATTGACTGTGTCTATACAGATCTGTCATGAATATACCCCTAGGTGCGATCCGTCCCGACCTGTACCCGCGGAAGGATGCTGTCCTGCAGCAGTCATCGGTGGACCAGAACCTCGGGCGGCTTCATATACGTCTGAAGTACGACTTCCGAACGTCGGACATTATCATTCATCTCATCGAGGGTAAAACTTCTATTTATATTATTCTTATATCAAAATGAGACAATTATCTGTGATTCATGTGTTCATTGTAAATAAAAATATGTTATGTTACTTTGACATCAAACTTTTTGTTTCCAAGATTATTTTTTTTTTGCATTGTTTTGGCATTTTGATGTTTTTGTCTTCGGTACCGTTTCGATGTGTATTTTGCTGATATTTTTTTGGCCATGTTTTGGTGTTGCTTTAGCGATTATTTTGTTATCAAAGGCAATATTTAGAAAATTGTAGTGTTACTGTAAAACCGTGTGTGTAGTTTATGCAGTGTGTTGTAGGTTTGTTATGCAATTAACGTACATTTGCATGTGTTCAAAACAAATTCTTTCCTGCTAACAAGAATATATTATAAACTGTCATCGTAGAAAATTGAATAGTTACGATATAGACAAATACATATTTCACGTTACGATAGAAAATTGCATACTAGAATTTATAACAGTTAAGGTTGTTCCTAGATTTTCACGCGGTCTTAGACGGACGCATCATCGATAATTACATGTATTTGACCAATTATTACCCACAGTACAGCTTGTTGTACCCTTTGTTAGCCTCATTTGATATTTTTTGTAATTTGAAATTTCGTTTATTTAATTTTAAAAATAGGCTACCACTTCATCTATTTAAGTTACTTAAGGATGTACACCTCTGAGAAGTCAAAAAATTCCTGTATTAAACTTTTTTTCTTATGTTGAATTTTGGAAAAAGGAGATAATGGCATAGTAGAAAATGCAAAAAAAAATATGTCCGTGTGTTCGTTTTTGTGCTATGATCGGTCAAAGATACCAATTTAACACAATATGTGATTTTAGGTGAATTTTCGGGTTTTGACCATTTGCAGAACAAATTCATACAATTTCTTCCAAGTGTGTTATCAGATATGTATGAATGTTTGTAGAATTGATAAAAATATTATTTTCTTTTAAATTATGGAAGTAAAATTTCTTAATCTTAATCATTTTACTCAGAAATGCGATTTTAGTTACCCCTACCCCTTATTTTTTAATGAAAAATGCACATTTTTTCACCATTTTTTGCAGATTAAACGCTTGATATAAAAAAATCCTGTATTAAACTCTTTTTGGTATTCAATAAATCAAAAGAAAACGTGTTTCTCCTTCTAAAACAGCCACAAAATGGGGAGTCGGTGTGCTTCTTGTTTTGTCCCATTATTATTTGTGCCATTTTTCACCTTTTTCGGGGTCAAAAATCAAAAGTGCTTCAGTTACCCTAATATGTAAAAAAAATACCAATAATATATAACTTTCCACTTTTTTGCATATTATTTTAATCATATTGAACATTATAAAGTTGTACAGCAAAATTGAACCTGCTACATTTAAAAATGGTGACACAATGACAATTTAAGTGATCAATCTAGTGTTAAAAAAGGTGAAATTTTGCCCTTTGTGAAGCGCAAGAAATTCATATAAATACACTTTTTCAAAATGGCCGCCAAATTGGTCCTTTTTTTTCAAATTCTTGTAAAAAATGTTCTACACACAACAGACATCTAGTTTTTTGACATGATTTTTAAGTATGTGTTTGCTACTAAACATATCATAATTTGATAAATATTACAAAACCCCGTTACACCAGATCAAAACGAGACTTGAACGTGATTGAAACCTCAGAAGAGTACATCCTTAATCTCCATATCTATGAACTAGAAATAATATCTCTTATTTCTGTACATCAACTAATACATTTGCTGGACTTGAGCCCCGTTATTGGTCCACTCTGTTGACACGGTGACGTTAAGATCGAGGCGAAGTGAAGCTGCAGACTTACGGTTGCGAATGACACTTGCATACCGAATTTCCTGCCTCATTCTTACATACCGAATTGCCTGGCTCATTCTTACATACCGAATTGCCTGCCTCATTCTTACATACAGAAGTGCCTGCCTCATTCTTACATACCGAATTTCCTGCCTCATTCTTACATACCGAAGTGCCTGCCTCATCCTTACATACCGAAGTGCCTGCCTCATTCTTACATACAGACTTGCCTGCCTCATTCTTACATACACTTACATACAGATATATCTGCCTCATTCTTACATACAGATATGTCTGCCTCATTCTTACATACAGATATGTCTGCCTCATTCTTACATACCGAATTGACTGGATCATTCTTACATACCGAATTGCCTGTCTCATTCTTACATACAGAAGTGCCTGCCTCATTCTTACATACAGACTTGCCTGCCTCATTCTTACATACAGACTTGCCTGCCTCATTCTTACATACAGAAGTGCCTGCCTCATTCTTACATACTCTGTTGACACGGTGACGTTAAGATCGAGGCGAAGTGAAGCTGCAGACTTACGGTTGCGAAGGACACTTGCATACCGACATTCCTGCCTCATTCTTACATACCGAATTGACTGGATCATTCTTACATACCGAATTGCCTGTCTCATTCTTACATACAGAAGTGCCTGCCTCATTCTTACATACCGATTTGCCTGCCTCATTCTTACATACAGATATGTCTACCTCATTCTTACATACAGAATTGCCTGCCTCATTCTTATATACCGAATTATCTGCCTCCTTCTTACATACAGATTTGCCTGCCTCATTCTTACATACCGAATTGCCGGCCTCATTCTTACATACAGATATATCTGCCTCATTCTTACATACAGATATGTCTGCCTCATTCTTACATACAGAATTGCCTGCCTCATTCTTACATACAGACTTGCCTGCCTCAGTCTTACATACAGAATTGGCTGCCTCATTCTTACATACCGAAGTGCCTGCCTCATTCTTACATAACGAAGTGCCTGCCTCATTCTTACATACCGAATTACCTGCCTCATTCTTACATACAGATTTGCCTGCCTCATTCTTACATACAGAAGTGCCTGCCTCATTCTTACATACAGACTTGCCTGCCTCATTCTTACATACAGACTTGCCTGCCTCAGTCTTACATACAGAATTGTCTGCCTCATTCTTACATACCGAAGTGCCTGCCTCATTCTTACATACCGAATTGCCTGCCTCATTTTTACATACCGAATTGCCTGCCTCATTCTTACATTCCGAAGTGCCTGCCTCATTCTTACATGCCGAATTACCTGCCTCATTCTTCCATACAGATTTGCCTGCCTCATTCTTACATACCAAATTGCCTGCCTCATTCTTACATACAGATATGTCTGCCTCATTCTTACATACAGATATATCTGCCTCATTATTACATACCGAATTGCCTGCCTCATTCTTACATTCAGAATTGCCGGCCTCATTCTTACATACAGACTTGCCTGCCTCATTCTTACATACAGAATTGTCTGCCTCATTCTTACATTCCGAAGTGCCTGCCTCATTCTTACATGCCGAATTACCTGCCTCATTCTTCCATACAGATTTGCCTGCCTCATTCTTACATACCAAATTGCCTGCCTCATTCTTACATACAGATATGTCTGCCTCATTCTTACATACAGATATGTCTGCCTCATTCTTACATACCGAAGTGCCTGCATCATTCTTACATACCGAAGTGCCTGCCTCATTCTTACATTCCGAAGTGCCTGCCTCATTCTTACATGCCGAATTACCTGCCTCATTCTTCCATACAGATTTGCCTGCCTCATTCTTACATACCAAATTGCCTGCCTCATTCTTACATACAGATATGTCTGCCTCATTCTTACATACAGAATTGCCTGCCTCATTCTTTCATACAGAATTGCCTGCCTCATTATTACATACAGAAGTGCCTGCCTCATTCTTACATAGCGAATTGCCTGCCCCATTCTTACATACAGAATTGCCTGCCTCATTCTTACACACCGAAGTGCCTGCCTCATTATTACATACAGACTTGCCTGCCTCATTCTTACACAGATATATCTGCCTCATTCTTACATACAGATATGTCTGCCTCATTCTTACATACAGAATTGCCTGCCTCATTCTTACATACAGAAGTGCCTGCCTCATTCTTACATAGCGAATTGCCTGCCCCATTCTTACATACAGAATTGCCTGCCTCATTCTTACATGCAGACTTGCCTGCCTCAGTCTTACATACAGAATTGTCTGCCTCATTCTTACATCCCGAAGTGCCTGCCTCATTCTTACATACCGAATCGCCTGCCCCATTCTTACATACAGAATTGCCTGCCTCATTCTTTAATACAGAATTGCCTGCCTCATTTTTACATACCGAATTGCCTGCCTCATTCTTACATACACTTACATACAGATATATCTGCCTCATTCTTACATACAGATATGTCTGCCTCATATATACTTGGGTACAGATTTGTGTATATGTATTCATATATTCCTCTTGCCTGCCTCATTCTTACATACAGATATGTCTGCCTCATTCTTACATACAGATATGTCTGCCTCATTCTTACATACAGAATTGCCTGCCCCATTCTTACATACAGAATTGCCTGCCTCATTCTTTCATACAGAATTGCCTGCCTCATTATTACATACAGAAGTGCCTGCCTCATTCTTACATACCGAATCGCCTGCCCCATTCTTACATACAGAATTGCCTGCCTCATTCTTACATATCGAATTGCCTGCCTCATTCTTACATACCGAATTGCCGGCCTCATTCTTACATACAGATATATCTGCCTCATTCTTACATACCGAATTGCCTGCCCCATTCTTACATACCGAAGTGCCTGCCTCATTCCTACATACCGAATTACCTGCCTCATTCTTACATACAGATTTGCCATACAGAATTGCCTGCCTCATTCTTACATACAGAAGTGCCTGCCTCATTCTTAAATACAGAAGTGCCTGCCTCATTCTTACATACAGAAGTGCCTGCCTCATTCTTACATACAGATATGTCTGCCTCATATATACTTGGGTACAGATTTGTGTATATGTATTCATATATTCCTCATTCTAATACTGTCCTCTGCGAACAGAAAATCAGATTTTGGCGGTATCTGTTCCCTTCTATATTTGGAATCGATTTTTAATGTGAAGAGTTATTTTCCGATAGTACCACTTAATATGTCCGTGTTTACCAAAACCACATCGCAGGCTTTCAGACTTCCGACCTATAATCTTTATTTGCGAATACCATGTTGTCTCTCATAAAAGAAATCACTTCAATTTCTGGTCTACGAATGAGATATTTCGCGTTCTCTCCACAACTCTGACGTGAGCCAGCCTGACGGCACGACTGGGACGCACCTTTTAGACGTGCAGAGCTACATCTCTAACTTGAATTTTGTATGCGTCGTTCATTTCGTATTTCTTTTTATTGATTTTCGCAGGGTATAATTGTACAGTGTCTGAAGTGTCGTGTAAATTTAGAAGCATGCTCATATCACGGTCCAATACATAAAGCGACATGACGTGAGACTAAGGCCTTGGCCGTACGTCTTGACCACATATGTCGAGTAAGCTTTTCATAAAAATTGATAGGCTATGTTAGGCACATGTAAGACGATAGCAGCCAAAGGGACAGAGATAGTCGGTAGACATCCACCATTCAGAAAAAAATCTATCAGACGTAGTCTCTCTCGTTTCGCGTACGGGTGAATTCAAAGATTGCCATACTAAAGATATTATAATTTAAAGACGTTTCAGACTTATGCTGTTTTAGCGTTGTCCTTCATTTTACACGGATTCTGAGCGAGATCACAAACACAGAAAAAAAACTGCTGTTTGTTGCATGGATGACAGCTTAGCGACAGCTTGGTTACGGCTGACATTCAAACTTGCCAGTCATTGTTAAAAGGATGTTACTTCGTTTTAGAGGGTGTCAACTTATCGGATTAGCGTGAATTCGTTTTTGAGGTTATTTAGTCATAACAAAATACTGTTAACCAATGCATGATCTAAGCTGAAAAAGTTCCGCGATAGAGACAAACACAAACATATCGCAGCCTACCAAAACACACAAGCATAAACTACACGTATGTATGCATCTTGCACACAGAAGAGGCCGTCCTTAAATGACCATAGCTGTTGATAGGACGTTAAACAATACTAAACCAAATCAAACCAAACTAAACTGTGATTTCATTATCGATCGCCCGACTTCATACGTCAAAGGTCAAATACGAGTTGTTAGCCAAAAGAACCCCTTTTTATAACTTTTAGGATAAAATAACTATTTCAAAGGTACATTTGTAATTACATCAATTATTTGTACAGAATCGAACGTCTACGGGAGAGTCCTGTGTAAAATCTATAAAATAGTATAAATAAGCAGTGCTACGTGTAGGTGGGATCTTAGCATATCGCCTCCTGAAAACCTTTGGTGGAAAAGAATCCAACCTCTGGGTTTATAATGAGATGTTGTTATCATGTAAAAATACAGGGATATTTCTATGAGAGTATGTCTGACTGAAAACAATTGTATGATCGACAAGGCGAATTTATATAAAAAAAATACCGTGGTTTGTTTTGTGACCAATACTGCCGTACATGAAGAAAGGAACGTTTACATCGTCACATTATCTGTGATAACAGAGTGATCGAAGAAAGTGTCAAGTGCAGTGGGTTCTTTTGTAATGTTACTACATTTACGAACTTCCCAACGTCAGCGTAATGAAAAACCTTTGCTGCTAAATCAATACATATCTTCGTCAGTGTCTTTTGGCAAAGACCCGTAGAGCCCAAATGGACCATTACATTTAAATACTCGGTCAGACGAGACAGTCGGTCCACATACCTGTATGCCTGACTGGAGTACCAGAAAATTGCATTTTTTGATATGCCCATAAACGATTCGGCAAATGCTGCTTTATAATCATTGTAACTTCCTTCGTAAGATACGTACAGACATTTATACGAGTTTTGAAATAATTTGATCCCGCACTCTGTCATAGGGACATACATCGAATTCGCTTTATTTTCCTTTTGAGATAACATCCACATGTGTCTAAAAAGCATGTCGATGACAACCACTCCATAACATTCATGTCGTCTGCGTGTGTTTTATTTCTTTAACCTTTCGGCGAAGTTGCATTTTTTGAGCGCGAGTTCCAGCTTTATTCCCACTTACGTTTTCTCTTGTTGCTGTTCGTTAAAGTAAACTGTAGGCGTATTGATTTCGAGTCCAATACGAATCTTTTGTCGATCGATTTTTTAACTGATTTTCTCGTGTGGTACTCCATATGGAAGAGGGTCC